CTAAAATTTTATATTTTAATATTAGATTCAATATTCATTAGGTGATTCTAAAGGATTGCATAGCAAAGTATTTTGTCTTTTTTTAGAAGTAAATTGTCATGAAACTATAAAAACTTGTAGAGAGATAAAAGTTTGTGAAATAGCTAATATAAATATAGTAACAACTCCACATTATAATATTAATCCTGATACTGATTTAATTCTTCATGATGATAATAATTTGAATAAAGAAAATCAAATTAAAATTAATACAATTGGGTAATAATTTTCAAATTTTTATTATTTTTACAAATTTAATTATAATAATTTATTTATTAATTTATTTATTTTATTTATAGAGAATATATTGCAACAATTAAAGCTACTTGTCCTTATAATAATTATATATGCAAAAAAATACCAATAATTCAATACTATATTATTTTAAAAAGTGAAAATCAAGATGAAAATACTTCTAATGAAAAATATATTATTCAAAAAACTTCTTTAAAAAACAAAATAGAAATTATGAAAGATTTAAGGAGATTATACCATGCTAGAGAATGTGTAAAAGGTGAACTATATTCCTATATGTTTATTTCTATGTATAGTAACAACTATAATAATGGTTAATGGTTAATGTGATCAATTAAAGTGTTCCTATATCGCGGATTTTAAATTTTAGACAAACAAACTATGAAAAAAAGGTGGTCAGCATCACCGTATTTTATTCATTAAAATGTCAACTAATTTAGTTGATTTGATTTTTGACCAATTAAAACCTTCCTCGGATTCATTGAGTGAGGTGCTTAGAACATCATAATAACTCAGGAAATATTATAATTGATAACATTATTAAACACGAGATAACTTGAAGTTTAATTAATTTCAATAAAATTTTAGATTTTGTTTGATGAATACAACATAAACTATAGAGACGTGATTAACTGTTTAATCGCTTCTTTAATAGCAACGGAGGTTTAAAGTGAATTAATTACTATGCCTAGCACGATTATTATTATTATTATTATTATTAAGTTCCTAAAACCTTAAATAAATAAACAGAAATAAACTAATAAAAAGAGTAAACATTACGTGGGGAGCATTAATATAACCAGCGCTTTTGCTTCCAGCAGTGACAGAGCTTGGAGAAGTACTCTCTGCAGTGATCTTAATATCAGCACATTCGTACAATGTTGTATTGGTTGGAGCAGTATCATTAGGTTGAAAATAAACTGATTGAAGATAAACTAGTTGAAGAACTCCCTGACTGCCAACAGTTGCACCGGCTTTGGACAGGTCAACAAAAATTATTACATTTTCACCCTTTGCATTAGCAATCTCATATTTCTTTGAGTCTTTATTGATTGCAATAAAATTAAACAAATTAATTAAATTTAAATAATGCGAAAAGAGGCAGACAAATCATATAATTACCTGCAGCTTGAGTGAAATTAATGCCATCGGTAGAATAATAAAAGAGCAAAGTACCATTGGTATCATGGATCATTTCGAGTATAACATTACCTTTTACTATTATAATTAATAAACTGTTATAGATGAAACAAAAATTATTTTACATGGAAATTTATTTGGAAACTCACTAGGAAAAGTGCTAATGGTGGTATGATTAACCGTAGTAAAATTTTGGCCACATGGAGGATCAAAAACCGGGATTCCGCCACTTCTAGATGGTGGCACTAAAAGTTTAAAATGAGCATTTACAAAATTAAGTAAAAGTGCAAAGAAAATAAAGAAAATGGCAAAAATGAAGGATTTCATGGCAAAACCGGAATGTGTGACAGGTTACAGTACGTTAATTGATCAACATCAGCCTATATTAAATAGATTTTAATGTTAGGATGGGGTTAGAAGGGAGATTTAGGCAAAATTATGTGTAGAATTTATTTTTAGAGCGCCAAGAACGATTCATAGGCAGAATTTTAAAATAAAAAATTTTTTTACACATTCCGGACATGCGACTTGGTAATGCTTGTTTTCCTCCTTAATTTTTAAAGTATGGATATTCAAATTAAATATTTTAAAAATGTGTAAAAGTGCAAATTTAGCTGGTATTGATTCATGTGTTAACAATACGCTATTAGTGCATATCTGGTGATATTGTCGTTTGTATGATTTCTTTGGTGCATGTAGTAGTAATTAATGTTGCTTAGTTAAATTTTAAACAAGGTAGCATTTCGGAAAGTAATCTGTGATAAACAATAAGCGGAAAACGAATTAACTCTTTGCTGAAACTAAGGAGTAAAAGTGTTAAGTTTCACCATGACATCCATTTAAGAATATTCTTTGTACAGTTAACACATGCACTTACGTGTTGTATATACGTACTTAAATATGCAAACTTAATGGACCCCTTCAAATCATAAACCAAAATCTTTATCTGTACAATAACAATGTCTGGCCTATAAACGAAGTGATGATGGCAGAACTACCATTGCGTCACCATCATCACGTGAAGATCTACGTAACTTATCGCTTTGATGTAACGTTACACGTTCAGAAAGACCAAATTTTTTGTGCGCTATTTCACTGTCACGTTGGGGTGGCCGATCATCCAATAAAATCAAACATACGTCGAGTTCCATATAAATTTGCAATATTACAGATTTTTGTTGTCAATAAATTTTTTATAAAATTATGATATGTAACCATACAATGATAAGGCGCATGATGCTCATTTCAATGTATAACTAACACATTCTAAAAGATTTAAATGGTTATTCAGCCTTAATTGCTCGATGAATTGACATCAAACTTGGTAAAAAGAAGTCATAACACTTCTTTTACAAAGCTATGTTAAAATAATTATACTTTATATATAGTCTTACCAATTTTTATAATATACGTTTTTAAAAAAAAGTATTATATTATATGTGTACCAGTTTTAAAACATAGAGTTGTTAAGAATGCATTAAAGAGTGAAAGATGTTAAAATCAAAACAAAAGTATTATTATTAAGCATTAAATATCCAAATGAATTTGATTAATCTTTTAATATAAAAACTGCGCCATATTTTTTGATCAAAAAATCTATCATTATACAAAAATCATTGAGACTAAACATATGTTTGATTCTATTGGATGATCGGATCGGCCACCCACTGTCACGTGATAATGAAATTTCGGTGGTGACGCAGGGGAGCAAAAGATGCACACGTTTTTGATACTGATATCACGTGTAAATCTCCAAGCAAACTCATTACAAAAATGATTGTGTAATGAATTTCTTTAGATAATTTCTTTTACTAGCCTGCACGATCCGCAAATAACATTTAAGTTTGGCACGCTTCATTATTTCTTCAATATATTTTGAAACTTTTTAATTTTGACCTGGGCGCAGGGTTTTAACAAAGATTATACAACAAACTTTTTGCTCAATAAAATTTTTTTAAACCGATATTCATATGATAAGTTTTTCTTTCAAAAAATCTATTTTACACGCGACGATTTTTTTAATATAATTCAAATAAAAGTCTTTTTAAAGAAACTCTATCTGCGTAATAAATATTTTAAATATATTAAGATTATTTATGTAATAATTATTTTTTAAAAACATTATTCATGTAACGAAGTTGTTTTTTTTTTTTTAACAAAAAGTTGTTTGTTTTAGTATCCGCATAACTTAAGATTTTTAAAAAAATTTTTAGCGTGATTGATGGTATGTAATATTCTAACCACATCGTTATAAAAAATTTTGCCCTTTAAAAAGTTTTTTCAACAACCGTTTGTTTTGAATTTTCCCGTTTCATGTTATGTTTAGGGTGAGTAATACGAATAGTAGTGGTGTATACAGGCAACTCTTCCAAACCCGGACCTGGATAATCCGAACCCTTAATACAGTAAACCTGTAAAAACCGAATACAAAGCTTCGGAACATTTGTAAATTTTATTATAAAGTTCGGATCAGCAACATAGTAACATTTTAGGAACTGAACTTTTTGTTATTTTTACATATAAGAACGGACTGTTCGGAATAGAGAGAGTTGACTGTAATATATTAAATTAGCAAACACGTTTATATGGTTGATGAGGTCACAACTGCGTATAAAGTAACATTGTGTATAGTATATAAAATTTAGGCAAATGTGACGTTAAAGAAAACTAGACTTCGGGTTTTTAAACTTTTAATACCGGGACCAATTTTAATAGGTCGAGTCTGTGATGACATAAATTAAATGCCCGAAGCCCAATATTGTCTTTAAATAACGAAAGCAATAATCGTATCAGAGTTTTTTTTTAAAAAAAAATCTGGTTTAAAAATATAGATTTCCCATCAATAAAACGATGATACCTTCGAATAATAATAGTTCTGACGAGAAATCTACACAATCGGTTAATAGTTTTTCAAAGAAAATTTTTTCGACAAAAATAATCTTTTTAATGAAAACTTTATTACTAATAAAAATAATAGAGATTTTTTTTTTCTATAAGAATAATTCTTTAAATAAAAGTTTTAATACCAATAATATATAAAAAAAAATACCGATAATATATTTAAAGATAGATTTCCTTTTCTCGTAATATATGAAGCATAACATTCTACATCTAAACACAGAAAAGATGAAAGACGAAACACTGATGGAACATTGAGGATTTCGACTTCACTGGCACGAAACCTCTAGGTTTGCTTAACAACTATAACTGCCACGTCAAACAATTTTGAATGTTTAATTTTAGCTGTCCAAAAACTATTCTCGAAAAAAAAAAATACTTGAAAAGCACGCCTAATTATAAATATATATATATATATATATGCGGTCAATTTTTCACCAGATGTTCCAAAATTTAAGAGAACAGCTGTAATATATCGGGAAAATGATTGTCGGTGAAACTGCCCTAATCCCGTTTCCCCGCATCGCATGAGTACATATGGTAAAGGACACACGGTAAAATTTAGAGGTAGTTATAAAAAGCATATATATTATTTAAAAATAAGGGAGAGAGAAACATATAGACAAAGCAATTGTAGCAATATAGCCATACTATGTTACAATATTGATAGTTATTAAAAAAAATATTGGCGTATTATTAAACAATTATCTATCAATTTATATTTGTCTAATTCAACTAATAGTACTCTTAAAGATGCTTGACAAACTCACGTGACCTGACGAAATTATATAGTTTCGTCAATTCGTCAATGACGAAACATGAGTTTTCGTCAATTTGTCAACAACAAAGTTTTGGGCATCTATAACTATCACATCCAATAAGCGTTAAATTTAGATATATAACAATTTCCTTTACTGGTAAAGTTCCGATAGCAGTCGAAGTATTAGGAATATCTTTAATTTGTATATGTCGCAAATATTGTTTATAAGAAAATGTAGGCCCTCCACTATCACCAGACTTAATATTTGCGGTTGCATATGTTAGTGGATACTTAACTAAATTATTGATATTTGCAAAAAATCCATCGATTCCAATTATGTTTCCACATGTAACATGTGTAGTGTAGCCAGACTTACATATATAAGCACCATGACTGATACATTAACGTAATCATCGACAATCAACTCTTTATTTTGTTCAGAATCTGCATTCCTTATAACCACTGTTGTATCGATTTGTTTGATAATTTCCTTATTATCTGTAGAGATTAAAGCAACGTCGAGTGGGGAAATACTTTGAAATATCATAGGTCCAATTAAACTGCGCGACCCATCTTTATTCCATGATTTATGGAAAACGTGTCGTTAGCTATATTAGTGCAATGTCCATTAGTTACTAAATAAGTGGAGTTTAAGCATTTAGATTTTGCCCAAAAATCTATTGAACATTCCCCCGCTCGCTTTTTATTTTATCTCCAGCCAGGATTCGAATATTTATATCTCGAGTATTTGTATTGCCTATCTCCATATAATTTGCTTCAACAAATGAAGTATGAATATTACCTCCAATACGAACACTATAATGTTCTACAGTTTCGTTATAATGTCTAATTTTCCTGATGGCATCAAGAAACACTCTATTTTGTTCATCATATTGGTATGAGCTTAAAAAGACGCGATTAGATTCTATAGAAATGAAACAAGTAATAAACATGGGTTTAAATCTTTCAGCTAGATTTAATATTTGTTTATACACTTGTTTTAATGTTGCTATCTTTTCTTGGAAATATAGATTTTAAAATACGTTTACTCATTATAATATCATAGTATAATACATTAATATGTATTTTATTCCTTGGTACATCTACGAAATTTCCTCCTATACTTGTGTTATATTGTCCTAATAATGTTTGTAGGCGTCCATCTAGCTTTATTAAATTCTTTTCGTAACGTAATAGCATGGGTAACCTACTATAACTTACGTTCCATAATTTCGCTAATGGTTCTTCATAAGCATAACCAATCGGATAATTTTGTAAAGCAGAAATAGTTAATAACAAATTAACTAAAAAATTAACTTTCATAGTTGCAATATTTTATAACATATGAGAGTAATGGTAAAATAAAGAAAAAAAATAGATCGCATCATTAGCTAAAATGCATATTCCAATATTAAATACTTTTTTTTTATATTAAGCATTGAATAAGTTCAATATCCGTAATAGGTTTATTTACTTAGAACCAAATACGGTCAACTCTTGGTGTCGATCATTCAACGTGATTAAATCCAGTTTAACGAGAGTGATTATCTTTTGATATATCGTGTTACTTGATTTATCGAGAGGCGATTCAAATTTTTACCTGTTTATTGAGAGATGTATTCCCGAACGTAACAATGGGCTGATAAATTCGGATTGCTACTCGGAATTT